TCAAGGAAGCCTTGAATACTGTCAATGCACATGCCAAAATTTTAGCCAATAACTCTCTCTCCTTTGAGAAGGCATATTACGAGTAGAGGCTCAGCAGAATTGAAAATTCCTTCAAGACAATAGAAAGAGAAACAAGCTAAAAAAAAGCTGTAAGGACAAGTGTATACCGTTTGGAACTTTACGATGAATGCTTAGCTGTGTATAAAGATCTCCTGCGAAACTCCCAAAACGGCTATGATGAAAAGAGGAAAACAAACCTTTCAGCAGTTGTTGCAGCTCAAAGCAATTGGGAAAATGTGGTTCTAAAGAACTTGGACCTCTAAGAAGACACCCTAAACTGTGCTACAACACTTCCTGTGCACTGACTGGACAAGGCCAGCTGAACCAGGCAATGAAAATCCTACAGAAAGCTGAAGATCTTTTCCACAAATCATTTTCAGAAGACTGTGATGGGATGGAGGAAGACCCACAGACAGAACTGGCCATCATTCATGGTCAGATGGCCTATGTTCTACAGCTTCAGGGTCATACAGAGGAGGCTTTGCTGCTTTACATTTAGATAATAAAACTGAAGCCAACAGATGCAGGATTACTAGTTGTAACTGCAAATAATATCATTACCATTAAATGGGAAGGGCAGGGGAAAGGTAATAAGGAAAAAGAAAATAAAAATATGAGAAAAGGAAAAAATGGAAATAAAGTATTTGTAAATAGGGAAGGGAGGAGAGGGTGAAGGGAGGGCAGGGAAAGGGGAAAAATGAGAACCAAAACCTGTCATGTAAAGGTACAAGATCCCAATGATGAGTGTAACTGTACTGTATGCCTAAAATGTACTAATAAATTCAATGAGAAAAAAAAAGAACCAAAATGTCTTTTACTCTAAGACGATGAAATTAACCAATGCAGAAGGAATATTATTTAAGCTTTCCAAGAAACAACTGCAAGCTACAGAATTTAACAAAGCTTTCCCTGCTATGTATACAAACCAGGCAGAGCAATGCCACAAAATACCTACTAGTTTACAGTCCCAAAGTCCTGAGAATCTCCTACCCATGTTAATCCAAGCTTCCCAGCTCTGCTGGGGAAAAACAGCGCACAAAAGAATAGAGCTGCTTCAGGAACTTTTATATCAGCATCCAGAAAATGCAGCTGACATTAAGTTGACCATGGCACAGTTGAAAATTTCTCCAGGTAATATTTCCAAAGCATGTCTAATTCTGAGAAGCAAAGAAGCATTAAAGCATAAACCAGGCATGGCGTCTGCCTTAGTGACCATGTAAGCCATGAGGAAGATGTTGATAGTGCCACTGACGTCTTCACACAGACTATACAGTGGTACCAAAACCATCAGCCCAAATCTCCTGCCCATTTGTCTTTCATAAGAGAAGCAGCAAACTTCAAACTCAAATACAGGTGGAAGAAGGAGGCAATTAGTAACCTAGAACAGCTATAGAAAGAAAAAAGATATTTACACCTGGGCACAGCTTATTTTTACCTACTCACTTGCAGATCCAGAGAAAGCAAAAGCTCTTAGTAAACACTTGCACTCATCAGATAGTATTTCTCTAAAAGTAGACGGTGAGGCTCTTGAAAATTCTCCTGGTGCTACCTACATGAGGAAGAAGGGTGGAAAGTCGCCAGAGAAGGTCCAAGGAGCAAGGTCAAGGAAATCTGAAAAAAGGAGAGGGCGGCGGAGGGAGAAGAAGGAAGGGGAGGAG